AGAGTACTTGCTTGGAAGGATAATCAACAGATTGTGCAAATAAGTCTTAATTGGAATCCAAGAAGAGGATTTGATTGAGAGAGTAGTCTGACAAGTAACCAAGACTAGAATAGTGAAAAAAGCAGTGAACACAAAGATGGACTGTAATAAAGGATTGGTCTAACCAAAATTAGAAGCACCTCTGGCATAGCTGAATAATCTAATTATAAAAGGGAAGATCTTGAAGGTAGGCATATAACCTTCTTGTGCAATGTAAAAGTACCAAATCGGGTTTGGTCATACCTATATGAAAGTCTATAACAAACAAGACTAGGAATCAACCAACCAATGTGAGATAAGATCTGCAAGATAGTATGGCATCATTGGAGTCAGTATAACTCCCTAGGCATAACCAGAATTGTTCTGCAAATATTGTCAAATAAGTTGGAAGCTTGCAATATATGGTAGCATGGTATCACTAAGGTCAGAGGAACTCTCTAGGTATAATCAGAATTGTCCTGTTTGTAAGTATAACAAGTCTCAGTCTCTACTATAAAAAGAAGCACTATGTTGGAGGTTAAATGTAGCATCGAGTTACTGTATGATGTTAAGACCTAGAGCATCTGCAGGAACAGCAGTAGCAGGTTTGGCTTGAGATACAGATTGGTCAAAAAGACCAATGGCAACAGTAAATCTGGCTTGAGATATGGGTTCATTGTAGATCCTAAACCATTGTCGAAACACCTTAGAGAAATCAATAACAGGCAAATCAAAGATAGAAAGATCATAAGGATCAGACATACCTGAATAGGACCAATTTGTGAGTGATACAGTGATAAAAAGGTGAGAAATATGGGGAACAAGGTAATACTAGATATAGTTAGATTAGAAGGCAGAAGAAACAAGACCAAGTATAACATATGAGTAGAACATATAGGTATGATTTACAGAAGACAGTACCCTTGGCATTTGGGATGCCGCATTAAGTTCAGTAGGTATCTTTGTCTGTATAGCAGTTTAATATATGCTATGACCACAAGTGGTTGCCAAGGTAACTTGGTGCAGACATGCACTTAAATGCCATAAGGGTAACCAGGTAAAGTTAATAGTGTTTTTTTTTTTTTTTTTTTTTGTTAAAGGCTATACTTGTGGCGATACTTTATTGACTTTTATTGGGTTAGCTATTACAACTATTTTTACAGAAATGAGAGTACAGCTAGTCACACGTGCAACTTTTGGTTGTCTATTTAAGTAGTCCGCCCTAAGGTTCTACACTAGGTGCCGTACCTATAACCTACTAGGAGGTTATCTATTTAAACTCTCTGATCATCCGTCTTGTCATATTGGAATCTTCAACTAACCCCCTATATATACCTATCTGGTATATCGTCTGAGCAGTATAGTACCTACCCTTTTTGTACTGGTTCCCAGTCTGTTACACATTTCAGAGTACGTCACCTGCCAGTAAGGCGCAGAGGGCCTCCTGTTGTTAACTATCTACTCACTTTTAGAACACTAACACAGGCTATCCTTGCAGAGTTCACCCAGACCCCAGTACTGACTTCATAGCATATCTCTAGTACTTTTAGTATATCCTTGTTTTGAACCAAGACTTTCAATCCAGATAGCCTGGAAGGACTGTGACCTGTCCTTGATATATTGAGGTCGGCTCAATATCCTTTTCCTTCAGTCCAAAATCTGGTGGCCTGGTTGGTGGTACCCCTCACCCGAGGTTCTTGCCTGCCCGAATCCTTCACATTGGTATTCATTTTCTAGGTTTAGCCTTTACAGTAGTACCGTCAAAGATCTGTGTTACCTCTTTGCTCGGAATTTCCAAGTGGGCTTCAGCTTCCCAGTTTTACGAATTTACACAGCCTGAGGACTTATTTTAGGTTTGCACCGCCTGGTACCAGTTTGCATTCTTCTGTGTAACAGGTTACACAGATGCCCAGACCTGCCAGTCATGCTGGTGTGACCATAGTTACAAGTATCCTATCTCAACTGATCAACAGAATGCCATCGCCATAATATCATCTATATATTATATAGATAATTATCCAAATTTCGCTGTCAGTGGGTTTTGAACTCACAACCTACCATTTGGGGGTATGACAACTTATCCACTTCACTAAGTCGCCACAAGTCAGTAGTGTTAAATTAGATAATATATAGTACTAGTAATAATCGATTCTAAAATGTAATCATAAATTTGTACTATATTAAATTAAGGCTAATAAAAACTAACTGGCATTGTTGCCAAAGAAAAAAGAAAAAAAAAAAATAATAATTAGTACAGCCAATCAGAAGTAGTGGTAGAAATAAGTAAACTTAAGACTATGTACTTAAAATGCATATAACTAACATTTTTGTTAGATAGTATATTATATATTTGTTATATGTAACATTTATCATTATTACATATATTAGATCAATCATATCGTATATAATTATTTGATCGAATAGATATAATATAGCCTGGTAAAAGTAATAGTCAATAATCATAACTAATTGTAATGTATAATAGCCCTGAGATTCTCCTAAATCAGCAGCTATCTCAAGTATAACAATAATGATTTAACAAAGAATAAACTAATATTATGATAATTCTTGTATCTTTATAAACATTTAGCTGTCACCTCTTTCATAATCGCAAATCACTTTAATTCTTTTAATACATGATTGCACTTGTTATTTTTAGATATAATAAAATATATAATATATAACCATAAGATAAGAATATAAAGATAATAACAATAAAATAATACATAGCTATAAGATAGTAACTATAAAATAATAAACTTTTTTAAATTCACAATCTTTCTAAATAAGGGTCTTCGATTAATCTTAAAATTCCTTAAAAAAAAAATAGGAATAATAAGTAAAATGATTATCATATGTATATACTCAATAAAGCACTATAAGTGCATCATATATATTAAGGTAAATTTTTTAAAAAAAAATTTTTGTGACCTTGAAGATTGTAATAATTGACTACATAAAAACTTATTATAATTCATAAAATTTCAATAACCTAAAAGCTAATTAGTTAGTTAAGCTTTCAATATAGTAATAACAAATTCGACAATAAACTAATAGCAATACAAACCTTAAAAATCATCTTCCAAGTTAGTTGTAAAATTGCTTTCGTGATATTCTTCAAAATCCTCCTCAGAATATGTCTTAGAATTTTCATAATATTTTTCATCAAATTGTTTTTCAGAATTTTTCTTAAAACTCTTTTCTAAATATTTTTCAAAATCTTCAACATCTTCTTCAAAATTCTTTTCATTATATTCAAAAGACATATTTTCATTTAACATTCATTCTCTATCTTCGAATATCAAATTTTCATTAGTATCAACTTTATTATCTATCATATTGTTACTAATTTTTTCTCGATAATAGCACCAGTTTTTTTAAATCACTTACTGATAATGGCCAATCTAAACTTCGCAATATTCGAAGATTCTAATAAATAAAAACAATTTTTTCTACCTGCTTATTATTTAATTTATTATGCAGTTTTGAGTGAATAAAGCCAAATGATGACCAGTTTCTTTCACTTGCAGCAGAGGTTGCCAGAATAGAAAGAACTTTAAAAGTAACAGAACTAAGAATCAGATATCTGGCTTTTACTAAATTCTACTAATTTTGAGGGTTTTTTTTTACATCACCCCATAAATAAGGCCTTGCAAATTCATCTGTTCTATCAATATATTCTGCGAATTCTAATAAAGCTTTATCTTCATTTTCTAATCCAGCTAGCTGTATAATTTCTTCTTCTATAATATGATAACATTTTTGTGGATTAAGTTTTTCACCTCAATACCGTGAATCTAATTTATATGCAACTAAAATTGCTAGATTAAACAAAAAATCAATTCATCATTTGTGCCCTAATTGCAAAACTTCCTCACAAAAAGTTTTAGAAACTTGCTGATTCTTATGTATACCTGCTCTTATGTCAAGTAACTTGATATATGCTACTGAAAGTAAAGGATTATCTTGCTTTAAAAGGTAAATAAATATTAAAAATAGCTTTAATAAGTCATGAAGATATTTAAGATCTTTCCAAAAACTGTTATTAATAATTAAAATTTGAATATGACTATTGATTCTTAGATTATCTTCAGCTAAAATAGATTTTATTGCCAGTTTTGTTTGTAAAAGATAATCTATACATTCAAAGGCAGAACCTCATCATGTTTTAATTATTGAAACTAATGCAATTTGTTGTTCATATTTTTCTATTTGAAGACATCGAAGAGTAGCTAAAATAGTTTAATGCGATCTAAAATATAATACAATTTCTTTACATTTTTCTAAAATAGTTTTTGTCTATTTAATTTTCAAAATATCTTTAATCCACAAATTAATTGTGTGGGCTTAGCATTCTAAAAATATTTTTGTTAGATATTTATCCTTAAGAATTCTTCATGCTGCTTTCATATTAGAAGCATTATCGATAATTACAGCAACAAATTTATCAATTCCTACTTCTGACATAATTGTTTCAATATTTAATGCTATGTTATTAGCTGTGTGTTGCTTTTTTTTTGTAATAATTGATTTGTAAAAAATAGGTTTTGGTGTTGTTACCATATAATTAATAATAGAATCATTATTAATATTGGACCAACTATTAGTAATAAGTGAAAAATACTGCATTTGATTAAATAAGTATTGAACTACAATATTAATATCACTGTATTCTTGATTAAGTAATATATTAGAAAGTGATTTTCATGAGGGAAGTTTAAATGATAGACAAGCTTTTGAAAAAAAAATTTGCTAATCCTTATTTTCTAAAATATTAAAGGAAGCTCTCAATGAATAAAAAGCATATGCAAATAGACTTTCTAAATTTTTTTGATCAGCTTTAGATAATTTATATACAAAATTATATACCGTAACTTGATATTGATATTTTAAATCCAGAAGAAATTCTATTTTCTACATTTTCTGTTAAAATATAAGAATTATAATGCTCTTGTAGCCTTGTTTCATTTTTGGCCCAATCTTTTCTACATTTATGATATTTGTATTTTTCTTTTCCTTTAGAATCTTTGAATATATTGAATGAATCATTATATGCACCTTTATTACAAGGCATGATTAGTGAGAATAGTGTAGAAAATAATTTAAAATAGCAAATCTAGACATACTCTGCAAATGTATAAATCTTGATTTGGACAAATATACTTTTTATTTATGCTTGGATTACTTAAAAGAAGACTTTTATTCTTTCTAATTCTTACTATTAATTGTTTTTGAGCTTTTATTAGATAAGTTTTCCTTTTTTATTCTTATTTTTTAAAAGTTACTGTATTACTAATAATAATTTTTTTTTTCTCAAATATAAACCTGATGACTAGTTACTTTAATCTTACTATTTTGAAACATTAACATCATAAACATAATTCTTTTCTAATTTGGTTATATATATTAGTTACTCTACATATTATTTGAATTGTTTGAGATAATTATATATGCATGTTTTATCTGATTTTGGTTCAATTACACTATATATTGATCAGATACTAAAGATTATGCTATGTACTTAAGGTGTTACTATTTAGCAAATGTATTTTTATTTACTGCTTTACAATTTATTATTAATACTAAGTTAATACTAAATACAAAACTGACACTAATACAAACAAACAACTTTATTTATTTAGTAATAGTTTTTTTATTAGGGTTTTTAGTCCTTCTTGAGCATTATAAAAGATAAGTAGAATATTATATTTTTGTATCTTTTTTATACATTTATATTTTTAGTATATATTTTACTAACTGTTTTACTCTTTTTACTAGATTTTTCCACTAATTTCTCATATCCAATTGCTTATATCATCATTTTGAAACTACATTTGATTCATTCCTGATTTGGTATCAATTTTGTTTGATTATGAGCAAATGCATATTTGCATTTAATCTGATTTTGAGTGTATAATCATCAATCAAGGTATTGTCAATCACATTTATTTTAGTTATGAAATTTAAAAAGCAAGTTTTTAAGTTGAAATCCTAATATTATAAAATTACTTATTGTCTGTCTGATCTGAATCAAAAATATAACCAACAAACATAATATTGTTAAATGATTATTACTTTAAAATATTTATGTTTTGATGTTTTTAATGTTTAATTTCACTTCTAAATACAGTTAATGTAAAGTTAAAACTGCATTTTCCTGTATATCAGCTTGTTTCTTATAGTATCTATAATTAAGACATATACAAGATATTATTGCAGAATTGGTTTCTATATATTACTATATTTGTTGATTTTTGTTAAACTTGAATTATATATTTTTATTAATTATTTTATTCACATTAAAGTAAAGCATGCATTGATATATAATTATTAGTAAATTGTTACATAATGAAGAATTTGACCAAAATTAGTACAAGTAATGCTACAGAGGTGTCAGTAGTATCATCATCTTTGCTTGTTCTATAATTATAAAATAACAGGATAAAACCTGCATTGTAAATTAGTAAAATCTGTTATGCAAATCATATAAGGATGAAATTCATTTTTGCATAATAAAAACATAGCCAAATGCAGATTTCACTTTAATGTGATCTACATAGCAGGTTTTACTAATTTACAGTGTAAGTTTCATTCTTTCTTATTATAAAGTTTATGATATTTTTTTGTCAATTTACAGCATTATGATTAAATAAAATTTTCAGAGTCTAAT